CCCCGGCTGCGCGGCCAACGGCCTGCGCCAGCGCCCGTCCGCACCACATGCTCACGGCCAATCGCCGCCCGCGCCCGCCTGACGTCAGGACCGCGCCAGGCTGTCGCGGGGTGGCACCACTGCCCAAGACTGCAGCGCGGGTGGGACTCGCGAGAGCCTCCCAGCAGTCGTCGGCACCCCGCGCCGCGAGCCTGGGTCTCCGTAAATCCCGAGCGAGGTCGTCAGCGAGCGCTCGATCCTGCTCAGAAGCCCCGCGAGCCGAGGAGGTGCCTGCGGGAGGCGTGGCTGAGGCCGACCGCCTCGGGCGAGCCAATCGGCTGGCGGCAGAACCAGGGTGGGGCCGAGGCGCGGCCGGCCCGGTGCGTGCTGACGTCACGCGTGGGTGCGGACGGGATCGCTGTCAGAATTCCCGGTGCTTGGCGCTGGCGCCGGGTCGTTGCAGACTGTGGAGGGTCGGTCTGTCCACACCCACGTAGTGATGCTTTCCGAGGTGCTTGGGAAAACGGGTTGGCGCAGGTAATGCTCGTGGAGGCACGCAGGGGGCAGGCTGCGTCTGTGTGAGATCCACGCGGCACGCGTGCAGGATGGCCTCAGCTGTCCATTTTCTCACTCAGAGAAGTTGAGTAAACCCAAGCAATGTATTAGAAAACTTCTCCTTCCGATTACATGTGGAATTATTTGTGACTTTTCTTCTTCTTCTTTTTTTTTTTTTTAACTCACGGCACTAGCCTCTACTACTTGAGCCACAGCTCCACTTTTTATTAGTTGGTTGGAAGATCTCCCCGGCTGGCTTTGAACCACCATCCTCCTATCTCAGCTTCTTGAGTACCTAAGCTTACAGGAGCGAGCCACCTGCGCCTGGCCTCTGGACACTTTTACACTTGGAATTTATTAGATTCTAAAAAAAAAAATTTGCTTACTACTGTTTGTATCTACTATTTACACTGTCACCCCTTCCTCTCCCGTCCACACCCACAGATTGTATAGGTCATTTTCAACTAGTGTCTGTTGAGGACCACTCCAAACCTACTTTTAAAAAATTCTAGTAAATAGGGGCTGGGAAGTGGCTCAGTGGTAGAGTGCTTGCCTTGCATGCATGAGGCCCTGGGTTCGATTCCTCAGCACCACATAAGCAAAAAGAAAAAAGCCGGAAGTG